TTACCAGTAGAGATTCTACGCTCACAAACTTTTTAATATGGCAAGACCAGATGCATTTGGATTCTGACACTGACAAAAAATTTATGGGAAAATGTCATTCTAGTCAAAATTTTAAGCTGGGGTGGGGAGAGACCTAGAGGGTGGCAGGCACATTCTGTCTGGGCACAGATGTGTGCAGTCTGCACATGCCGTCCAGGGACATAACCCTCAACACGAGACACATGCACACGGGCAGATAAAGTCTGCTCCAGAGAAGGCTAATTCGTTTTAGTTTGCTGTGCAGCATCATCTGTTCTCCTCCCTCCTTCCCTCCCTCCTTCCCTTCTTGTCCTTCTTGCTTTCTTACCCTCCTGCCTTTCTTTTTCTACAGCATCTTGCCATGTAGTCCACACTGGGCTCAAACTCACTATGTAACCCAGGCTGGCCTCGAACTTGTGGTGATCCTCCTGCCTCAGCCTCCCAAGTGCTGGGATCATAGGCATGTGCCACCATGCCTGGCCTTTTTCTTTTTAAAAAATCTTTTTAAAATTTAATTTTTAGGATAAATATAAATGACGAAATCCAACTTACAAGATGCCAAGGTCAGGGAGTGGGGAGGCAGCGAGGGCCAGGAGAGCGAAGGGCCTTGTGCTGCTGAGCCTGAAAGCTGAGCCAGGCCCCAGCAGAGTAGTCAGGAGCAGGAGAGCACATCCCAAAAGGTACCTTCCCTCGGGAATCTGTGGACATTACCTAATACAGCAAAAGGGACTTTGCTTGAGGTGGGGAGACCATCCTGGGTTACCCTGGCGGGCCTGATGTAGCCCAGTAGTTCTTTTTCTTTGTTTCTTCCTGCAGTGGGGATTGAATTCAGAGCCTGGCAGACACACGCATCCTCAGCCCGCTTATTTTGAGCCCCGGTCTTGTTCAACTGCTTAGAGTGGCCTGAAATGGGTGATACCACTACCTCAGCCGCTTGTGCCGGTGGGGTCGGCTGGAGGAGTGTGTCACCATGCCTGGCTGGGCGAGGCTCCTCTCCAAGGGGTCAGAGTGGGCATGGGAGGGCGCACTCTGTGGCTGAGGCGAGGGAGAAGCCAATGAGCAACAGGAAGCCGGAAAAAGTAAAGTAAGATTCTTCCCAGAATTTCTGGAAAAAATAATAGGGCTGCTGACTTTGATTTAGCCCAAACTGACTGCCAACTTCTGACCTCCTGGGCTGTGAGAGAGTCAGTGTCTTCGGTGCTCAGCGACAGTGGCCATGGAAAAGGGAAGGGCTGGCTACCCGCCCCGAGCGCGGGCCGTGAGCAGTGTGTCTTCCTTCCACGCAGAATGCTTAGGCTACTGCACTGCAGTTTAGCACAGTTTGGAGGGTCTTTATTGGGAAGGTCTTTTTTTTTTTTTTTAACTATTTTCTTTTTTTGGACCCAGAAATCAAACTCAGGGCCTCACACTTGAAAGGCAGACGCTGCACCCCTGAGCCCCTACCCTGGCCCTCTCCACAGTTCTACAGTGCAGCGCAGGCCTTGTGGGAGGGCTGTGCTGTGCAGAGCCGAGGGCGCAGGCTTCGAGCCCACGGACCTTCCTGTGACCTGGGCAAGCCCAGCCTGGAGCTCAGCCTGCACCCAGCAAGGTGCCTCCTTCGGGAAGCCCAGGGGTCTCATCTGGGATGTGGGGATCGTATTAGTAACCACTGCCCTGGGGGTGCGGGCTGAGGGGCCAAAGCTCGTCAGGCGCCCAGAGCCCAGCTGGAGATGCGGCAATGCTGCTGCTGTCACTACTGTTAGAGATTGGAGCCGTGGCTGCTGGCACACGGGGCTCTGTGAGGGCCTCCGGCACAGGTGCCCTGCCTGCACCGCCCCTGCACTCTGTGTACCTGCCCTGGGCACAGCAGGCTTTGCCCAGCCTTATGCTCCACCTTACTGGCCTTCCTAGAAAGTACCTGTCCTGGGAAGGCCCGAAGCCATGCTGGGAGCAGGCACGACAGAGCAGGTGGCTCTCTGCTGGCTGCGGCCGCAGGTAGAGGGTGACCAGGCCTGACTGAGGCTCAGGGTGCCCCTGGAGCATCTCCGCAGAGGATGTCATGAGCCAAATGTTTCAGACTGCCGCTGTCACAGGCCTGTAAACCCTGCGCAGGATGAGTCCTTGCAGGTGTGAGAGCATTCGCTGGTAGCCAGCAGCCAAGGTGAAGTGGCAGGGGGCAGGGAGTGTGCTGATCGCTGGCGGAGATGCCACTAGGTCAGCCACTGACTGGCAGCAGCGTGGAGACTGTCTCAAAGACTAAAGAATAAAATTTGCATCTGACCCAGCTGCACTTCTCTTTTCTGGAGAGGGGTCAAGACATCAGACTTCTTCCCTTTCCAAAAGTGCCTAGTAATTGACAATTTTGCCTAACAAGGCTTAAGAAAAGGAGTAGGATTCTAGAAAACAGTGGAAGAACAGTTACACTTTCTTCTGGCTTGAGAGATTCCTGCAAGTGGCCAAGGATTCCTGTATTTGCACCAGTCATTGGTGGCTTCCACATTGTGTTCCTTGTCTTTCGTCACGTTTGAATATTTTTCATAATTATGTGTCAGAAATAAAGATGTTTTTAAAGGTCCTATTAAAGTTTGGTCACACTAAAGTATAAAGTCAGCACTCCCGAAGGGTTCGTGCTAGCGGAAAGAAACAGAGAAGGCTTTCAAACGGAATCCTGTTTCCGCAGGCCACAGGCACGGGGCGGCGGCAGCTGCTGTGTACAGAGGCGCTGCAAGTCCGGAAAGCACCACAGAGCAGGGCACTATTCAGGGGCGCAGACGCAATGAGGAGAGGGTGGCACCTCACAGAATTCTGTGGCTGGGACAACATGATGGCCCACACCCTAAACGAACACATGGGTACGATACAAAGCAGAACTTCAGAATTTCTGGTCCAGCGGCATGATCCTGGCCAAGACTAACCAGGCGCAGTGGCGTCACTGCGCCACACGAGCTCCGCGAACGCTCCGCAGGCCCTCAGCTGCCCAGCAAAGGCGCAAGGCCACAGGGACCTGGCTGGGGCCACTTCTAAATTTGCTAGTTGTGTGAATCTCACTTTCCTCAAACCTACAAGGAGGAAAATAAAAACTGGCTTTCACGAGACCACGAGACTGCCATGTTGACTTCAGCTTAGCCTGCAAGACAGCAGTGGCTGAGGTGAGCGCTCGGAGTGCGCCGCCGCCTCTGGGCTTCCAAGGCTGCCTGATGAATTCAGCGCCATGTATTTCGGCTCTAAAGGAAAACCCAGTCGATGTCTGTTTCTAGCTGCTGTATACTTCTTTACAAGGCCATTTCTCAGGATCTTCCCGAGATTCGGTTCCAGGACCCGAGTCCACAGATGCTGAACTCTCTTATAATTTATAAATGATACGGTGCTTGCATATGACTTACTCCATACACTTGAAGTCATCTCTGGATTACTTAGAACTTACAGAACACAACGTAAGTGTTGTAAACAGTCATTCCATTCTGTAGAGAACACAGGACAGAAGCCCACGCGTAGACGCAGCCACCGTAGAGCGAACTTGGCAGCACCGAAGGTGCACTCAGTGAGCCCCGTCAGTGAGCCGCAGATGTGGGGACGAGACGGCGCTGAAGGCACGCCGGCGCTTTGTGCCCTTGCTACCAGTGGAACCTCTGGGGGCTTCACTAAGCCGCAGTGCCATGACGCACTGGGAGAAGGACCCCAGAAGGACGGGGAAGGCCCGGAGGGCTCTGGACGGCGGCCTGCCTTCAGCACCGAGGCAAGGGCGTGTGAGGCGCTGGCCTCTCGCCTTCTGAGTCAGAAGAACATGAAACTTACTCTCCTGCTGTGACACTCTGGAGAATAAAATTCAGTCTCAGCCGACCAGGGACACACATGCCTTCTACCTTTCAGGCTTACTGTTTTTGACTTCTGTTGTCATTTTAAAGCAATTCTGGTGTCCTAATGGGGTGCAAACTGCAAACTCAGATTCCCCCCATCTAAAACCTATGTGTTCAAAAAGCAGTTGTAAAGCTTGGTAAGTATACATTAATTTAAGGTAGGATGTAACAGTTGAGTAGCTGTTTTTATTATTATAATGTATGTGTTAGTGTATGTTAGCAAACATCCTTTTCATTTTTTGAGGGACAGATAATATGGTCTCTGTCACAACCACAAAATTCTGCCCCTGTAGTGTAAAAGCAGCCACAGACCACAAGTGGCTACGTTCCAATAAAACTTTATTTGTAAGAAAGGTTGGAAGCTAGATTTAGTTTGTGGGCTGCAGCTTGCCAAGCTCTGCTTTCACTCAGTGGCTTCTAGATCTTTAGAATTCACATAATCAGGAAAACAAAACAAAGCAAATATTTGACATTTGCTCAGGATTTCTAACTTGTTTAAGTAATGATGGCTAAAAAATGATTACCTCATTTCTAGAATTTTAAATAGCAATGACTAGAAGGTACATAAAATCACAACAAATTTAGTTTTATGAAAAAACTTACCATATTCCACACAATTTTCCATGTCCTGGTGAAAGCTTTATAACAAATTTGCTTGGGTTAACAGATGAGTATTTGAGCTGATTTTGGAGATCGCTGAGGTATGGTACAGGACAAAGACTAGGGGGCTGGGCTTCGTGGTTCACACCTATGACCCTGGCACCCTGGGAGGCTGAGGCAGGAGGATCACAAGTTTGAGCCTGACTTGGGCAACGTAGCCACTAGGCAAGACATTCCTCACATGAACAGCCTGGGGTACAGCTGCATGTGAAGGGTCTGGGTTCAAGTCCAGGATCCTTGTCCTCAAAACCAAAACCAAAAACAATGACAACAACAAAAAAAACCAAAACCCAACAACTGAAAGAATAGGCTTTTTGTAATTCAAAGTTCTAGATTTGAATAAGCTCAGGGTACGAGTACTAACAAGGGGGATGAGAAATCCTTGAACATTCCTTTAATGGGGAAAAACTACAGGCTAAGAAGCATCTTCACTCTTTAGTCATTCTTATAAACAAAACTCCAACCCCAAGGACCCTCCTCACTTACCGGCTGCCATTGCGCGGGGTACCAGGCTGGTGGGCAGTTGGAACGGTTGCACACCTGCACGGTGCTGGGCTTGGGGCCGCGACACAGCTCATCCTCCAGGATCACCATCTCATTCGTCTCTCTGGAGAGCAGGTGGGAGCAGAAGACGTCCCTGGTCTGCAGCCCAACCCCGCAGGTGAAGCTGCACGGACTCCAGCGGCCGGCTTCCCACCTGCGAGCAACGAGGAAGGGACAGTCAGCTCTGGCAGAGAACACGCGCTGTGCACGCAAGTGTCGCCTGCAATACCCGAAGTTGTGCCCCAAGGCGGCTGGTGAGGTCTGTCCCAAGCCTAGCACCTCTTCCCTCTTCATACTGCCAAATGCACTTGGGAAAGCGTGGAGCACCCAATGCTGACCTGTAAAAGTCACCAGTGACGGTCACCATCACATCTGCTCTGATGGAGCCCCGACACCACATGGCAACCAGGGTGGAATGCTGGACCAGGCATAAGTCCCGGACATACATAGTTTGGACGTGACACACTGAGTAGCGGGCTTGGAGCAGAAATCGTTCTGCTAATTTCTGTGGCCTCCATTCTTAGTGAGACTGAAAAGTTCATGCTTGCTACCCCCTGGCTTCAAAGTGAAAGGTCGCTGGCTCTAACTTCCCTTGTGGCCTCGGAACGTCTCTGTCTTATGTATAAATATCGTCACTGCCTGGGGCTGGATAATGGGACAGCAGTGGGGGCTGCCGAATAGATGGGTCTCCCCGAAGGGAAGCGACTGGGGCGAGCGGCTCATTATCCGGACATAGAAGATCACAGATGAGCTATATGTGTGAATTGGTCACTTCCAAAAGCACACTACATGGAGCTGCAGGCCTGTAAGCCACCCCGCAGCGCCTGCCTTTGCCATGGTCTCCACCACGAGAGCGGGAGGACAGCTCAGCCACCTGAGCCAGGAGCGTTCTCTAGTGATCAGCTTTAGAAGCTGCATTATAAACTGAGGCACAAACCTACACACAGGAGTTAGCCAAGAAAATTATGGCAGTAGATTCTATGGCAGCTAAGACTGCCCAGCTTTCCTAGCCAGCTCAGAAAAGAGATTAAAAATCTTTGGGCTTAATGATTCTCATTAGCTTGACAACCAGACACATACTCTGTTCCTTTGGTGCTGATATGTCCCGCTTGGCCACCGCTGTTTCCAACACTGCCTTTTCAGCTACATTACGTGCAAGTGTACTGGTAACAGGTTACTCTCAAAGTTTCACTATTGCTTCATGGCTTTAACTTTGTCTTTATACAAGCTATACCCCGATTTGGAATACATTTTGCTCTTTCCTTACCCTTCAAAATTTCTTCCACTTTTGCATACTCAAGTTTGATTTGTACTTAAAAGACTAAGTTCCGCCCTGTTCCAGAAACTGGCAGTTTTCTCAAATGTGGTGCAGTTGTTCTGTGCGGTGGGGGCCTGCTACCGTGCAGCTCTCCTGAGGTAGGGCCCACATTTGAGTCAGTCCTGCGTCACGGTTGGTCACGGCGCTTTCCAGGCACGGTAGACAGCCAGCACCTGCCTCATCAGTGAGGAAGGGGGGAAGCTGCCATCGTGGAGCACATGTAGGCACGTGGCCTCACCCCGTCACTTCTAGACATGCAGGTTCCGCTGATTTTGCGTTTGAAGGGAGGGGAGCGCCTACATGGCCGCCTTGCCCAGCACGACGTCAGTGCCCACGTAAGCCCGAGACAGTATTCACGCTTTGCAAAGCTGAGCACGGAGCTCGGAGGTAGAGGGCTGCCTGCTGGGACCAAGATGCCACCTCCAGTGCCACAAAAACTATGATATAAAACAGAACAGAAATCTAAACTCGAGTGTATGTGACTTCACGGCTTTGTCCTTCTTACTCTACTGTGTCACCTACAGGAAATAGCTTTGTACTCTGCTGAGGGCATCTGCAACATTTTAAATAAATACAAAAGGGAGTCTGTTTCTCACAGAAGGCTGGCGGATTTCCACACACTTCTCCTAGGTTCAGGTCTCTCACGTGACTAAGTCCAAGCTTTAAAATGCTGTGAGGCTTTTTATTTTATTTAGAACTTTGCTTATTTTTACCTGGTAGGCATAGCTTCCCTTGTATTATTTTTTTCTGTTGTAGAATAGCAATCAGAAAATTGATCAGAAAACTTTAAGTATGCTCAGTGTTTGTAAACTAAGGTACCCCCCCCCAAAGGCGCTACATGTAACGCTTTAGCGCAAGTGTCACGTTCTCTTTCATGTGCTTTACATCCCTGCTTACTCAAAGAACCGAACAATGTTGAATAAAAAAAATAAGTAGAAACATGAAAAAATAAATTCTTGGCTGCAACCTCAAAAACAGGTTGTGATGCTGACGTGGCTTTAAGGGGCGCGCGCACCCCTGGCCACGCCCCGCGCCGCTGACCCCCTTCCGGTTTTGGGCATCACGGGGACCCTGTGCCACCAGGCAGGCGCTGCTGAGCTAGCACCCCACGGACCTCCCTTCTGCACCCTGCACCTTCGGCGTCTAGGCCTGGACCTAGAGGCACCTTTCCGGCGACGAGGATGAAGCAGAAGTGACGCCGCCCGCGCCTTCCTAGCTCACGCAGGCCACCGTTTCCACTCACGCACAGGCTCAGGAAGCCAGCCCCCTGGCCAAGGGACAGCCGGCCACTCGAGGGAGTCCGCTGCGGAGAGCTGCGGCCTGCCGCTCGCGTGTGCGGGCCACCTCCAGACCCGGCCCCCGGACCGAGCCCAGCCTTGGGGTGACCGCAGTGTCCAGAAAGACCCCGAGCCGAACCGCCTGCCCAGGCTGCCGCGAGCTGCCTGCTCACACCAACTGTGAGCGCAGACGTGATGGTTGTACGAGGAACGCGAAGTATGCACGACTTAAGGAACCCAATAAAAAATAGACACAGGAAAGAGAGTAGACTTTATGGAGATGAGAAGGGGACCCGGGGTGGACGACACGGGAGGAGCGGAAGGGCGGGGGGCGGAAGGCTCAGCATGCGCTGCGCGCAGACCGGCTCCCCTCGACAAATGCAGGCCGCATCGCAAACACACGCGGACTTTAACAAAACAAAATCCATAGCAGCACTATTCCTCATAACCCACACTGGGCAAAACCTCGAATGTTCTTTTTAACTTCTTTCTTTCCTCTAAGCCTTTCTTTCCGCTCTGTGGAAACCTGCTTGTAATAAAGGCTGTATGAAATGACAGGTTGCAGCTAATGCCCTGTACTGTCAGGCCTGGCTCTGCCGAGCTCCAGAGTAATGAACCCTGGCCAAGGATGGGCAGGGGCCCGGGGCTGTCCAGTAGCTGGAGTTCTCTTCCTGCCCTCTGGCGGCAGCAGCTATGGCTGGGTCCACCGTCATTATTGCTGCAGTTCAGACATCAGGCCTGGCTTCCTGCTTCCCCTGCTTCCCCAAAGGTACTGCAGTTCCACCCAGGGCCCACACAACTGGGCCGGTCTGGGCTCCCCACTGGCCTTCAGCCGGCTGAGCATCTCCAGCCAGGAGTCACTGTGCAACAGCAAGCCCACTCGTGCCCCAACACTAACAGCTTCAGGAGCCAGAGCCCGTGCTG